ACAATTTGAACACTATTAAGTACCTTTTGTCCATAATATGTAAATAATTAGCTAATAAATAATCAAAATCTATACTAAATATATAGCTAAATATGCACATATCAATAACAAGGGGTTACCTGGATACAAGCTCCATATGGAACACCACAAATGTTGCATAAAAGCTCTATCTTGTTGCATATCAGTTTCATCCTATGTTGTTAATCATTTCCTATATATGAAGCAAAAAAAAAAAACCCTCCTCACATTAAATTCAACATAACGACTATTTTATCATAAGATATCTGTACACATTCTATTTACAAAACTAATAACAATTTGTTTTTTTTAATAAAAAAGTGATGACATGTAGTCATAGCCTTGACATGAAAATGAAAAATCTCATATGGAAATCAAAAGGCTGCTAACAGTATAATGTAGGTGAGCATACTAACCAGTCACACAAAATATATATGATTGTCTAATTAGCCACCAAAAATATAATTATAAGTGGGAGATTATTACACAGTATGTAGTTAATACACTTGATGTGATACCACACAAATTCTAGTTTCACATAATAAGACTATTTAACATAGTAATGTGGGGGATCTTACTAGCCATTCACACATCATGGTTTGTTAAAAAAAAATGATCGAGTAACAATACCTGCCACTCTTAGCATTAGGCACAATTATTCCTCTTTTCTCAAGGCTCTTGTATCTGTCTCTCGCAAGGGTGCAACATGCCTACAAAATAATATAATCTTTACAACATTCACAAATCTATATTTATTATCATTATAAAAATAAAATATAATTGTAAAAAAGGCAAACCTTGAGTTTCCTTAAAGAACCAGTGATTTCTTCATATAACAACACTTGAACAGGTGCAGGTTCAAATCCGAATAACATTCAACCCCAATTTTACACATTCAACACTAAACTTACATTCCTAAAAACAAGAAAATTGCTATTTTACAAATTCAACCCTAAACTTACTTGTGTCTCCCTAGACGTGGTGGACATGATTTTAGTCTTTCTTTTTTGGCAACAACACGCCTTTCATGTCTCTTGCTTTTTTCTTCCTCTTTGGCAATTTCATCAATTATATCTGGTAAGCTGTAGTATATATTTAAAACCAAAACAAGTAAATATAATGAAAAGAAAAATTAAAATAAAAAAAAACTCAAGCTTAAAAAATAATCACCTGTCAAGCTCTTTAGTGAACTCATTTGTCTTTTTAGCTTCTGCCTGAATCTTCATATTGTTGTCCTATGTAGAATATGAGCATTTAAAACTCGCAACCTATAAATGAAACATGCAGGTGGATCCTGGTTATCCACCAAGAAACATTAAATAACTATATTACCCAACCACATTTATAACCAAACTAGATTACTCCAATAAAACCCATAAGTTTATGAATTATGATGGATAACAATGCACAAAAGGAAAATGCAAGCAATCAAACTCAACAAAATCGAAATAGAGAAAACAATGCATAAAGGAGAAATATTTTCAAACCAAGTAACTGATTACAAAGCGTATACATACATTTTTAAGGTATAGAGGTAAGAGAAGCACCTGAAATCAAGGAGAAGAAGTCGGAAAGAAACACTGAATGGAAGAAGCTGATGTGAAATGGAGCACAACATCCGACGACACAAGTATCTGTGTGAGAGGGTCGGGAGTCGACGAATCGGAAACTCTGGAACAAATTCCACCATCACAGCCATTCGAGTTTCTTTTTATTTATCTCCGCTTACATGTCTGATCGGCAAATCGGAAACACGGTTGTATAAAAAAAAAAATCAGAAATCGAAATCGATTTCAACCCTTCGAAAACCCTAGGTAGCTACTCTTTAATAAAATCACCATTGGTGAGGAATGCCATCGATCTGTCGATCCATAACACACCGTTAGTCTATTCTTTCTGCGATTCATTGTCGGAGGTGGAATGAAGGGTAGAGAGAGGTGGGATGAAGAGGGCGAGAGAGCGTAAAGGTTGATGTGATTCAGTTCGATAAATGGGTATGAATTTTGTTATCCTAAAATACCCCTGATTCATTTCAAAAACATGCTCCCGTGTCTTTTCTTTCCCAGGTATTTACAAAAAATGTCACAAAACATCCTAACCATCGTTTATTTTGATCTAACGATTCTCGTTTGGTTCTCGGGTTCTTGGGAAACTATAAGTTCTCAAATGATCATTCCTCTCTCTCTCTCTCTCTCTCTATATATATATATATATATATATATATATATATATATATATATATATATATATATATATATATATATATATATAATCTATTTCAATTATATAAAAAAATTGTTTATTTGTCGATGGAATGGCAGGACTCCTTTTAATGGTAATTCTCTAATATTACATATTTCAATTAATTACAGTTTTATATTCTTAAAATTGTTAGAAAATTCATCCAAGTATCGCTTTAAACGGGTCTTTGTTATGTTTTATATATTGTGTATTTTTGTGGGAATAAAAAGCTCATCAATATAATTAAATGATACTATATAAATTAAAATTTAAGCTTATTCATACTACTTAATATATTTCTTTTTTCGATTATTACAAATTAATCAAACAATCATAAAATAAAATAACAAACCAAGGTCGATCGACCCGATCTTAAGGTGATGACGATTGACGGTGGCACATAGCGTTATTTGAAGCCCCACACAAATACTTTGCCCTGACGATTGCTTTGTCCCTGTCATTCCAAATCACCCATAATAATGTGTAGAAAGAAAGATCTACTGAAACCACTACGAGCCGACTAAATTGAACAAAAGATGATCGACATATTCTAATTGTTGCTGACGTCATTTATTGACAAAACAAGGGTGGGGTTCTACTACTTCCGCACGTCGATCACCCATTTTGATGTTGACCACGATAACAACCAACACGAATTCAATCTATATATGTTTTTTTTTCATTTATTCAAAAATTTATATTGAATTCTATATACATAATAAACAAAAAATAAAATAAAAATCCCCCATATCAAATTAATAATTGTTAAAATTAAACTACATCTGGTTACAAGAAAATTACAGTATGCTCTTTTGCACACAAACCATCTTTTCAATCTATATGTTCAAAAGTCTCGACAATCTTCAATAGAGCTAGCTACGTTATCTAAGGCTGAGTGACAATAGGAGATAACCTCTTCGAGGAGATGTTGCAAAACATATGCTTTTAGGCGTTGAGACAATGGGCGGGGGATGTTGCTTCTGCACATTGGACAGCTGCTATGATTTTTCAACCACGCATCAATACAATGAGCATGGAATTGGACGCCATGGTTGCAGTTTGGAAGCTTTCTGTACTGGTCTTCCTGGGACACTTCAGAAAGACAGACTATGCAATCAAACACGACACCTTCTTTCTCTACTGCAATTACCATGGTTTTGTTGGATCTGTTGAGCAACCTCAATGCAGCAGACCACCATGATGGTGGTGGCTGTCTTCCTGAAAGGAACCAAAAAGTCACCACGAAAGTGGACGTGCCACCAACAAATGCAGCCGTCATTTCTGTCTTCAAGGTTCTCAAGACTTGATCCATTGTTAGGTAGTGATAATAAGGGAAGTGGAACTGTTTTAATTGGTATAATAATAGTTAAAACACATGAAGGTGCAGGTATATATATACGTGTTCAGTATATATTATGAAGATGGGTTATCAATTAATACGTGTAAAGTACGTAGTGAGAAGCACTTAGAAAGATCGTTTTCAAATAGCTAATTTGGAGAAGATATTACAGTAGTGGTCTATAGTAAATTACAAAATATGGGTAGTGTTTGAATCCCTATTGCATAATTAGGACTCGTACGTAGATTCTTTATTCAAAGTTTGACCCTGACTTACGTAGACCAATAAGAGTAGTGCCATGGTAATGACTTAACCTTATTTAATATTAACTTAGGATTTTCTTACTCTAAACTAACTATTTAAAGTTTGATTTTTTGAGTCTAATAGCTAAATACAGTCCCATACATGTTATATTATCTCTATATGTTATATCTGAAATTTTCTATTTTTCTTAAATCCTCTTTCTAAAATCAACGATTTTACAATAAATGGTGAAAGCAGGGCCGGTCCTGAAAAATGAAATATTCTTAAAGGCTCAGGACGAACAAGAAAAAAAGGGCCCTTATGTTTATTATAATTTTGTATTTTTAAATAAAAATATATAATAAAAAAAATTGGGCCCTGTGCAGCTGCCCACTTTGCCCCTCCTCTAAACCCCCCATGGGTGAAAGTTATGTTACAATATACACGAGCTGCCCACTTTGCCCCTCCTCTAAACCCCCCATGGGTGAAAGTTATGTTACAATATACACGATATTATCGTATACTGATCGAAGAAAAACCCTCACAGTTTTTTCAAATTTATATATCTATGCATAGATATTCTTTTTGTTTTATCAAAAATAACTTTTATTATAATAGGTAAAGAAGAAAGCATTTTTTGTCGAAAAATATATAACGTTTGTTTCATCAAACCCGTGCCGTCGTGTATCCTGCCAGATTAAGAGTATAGCTGCTGCCGTTCTCATTTTCATTGTTGATTAAGCAAAAAGCCCATTTTGACCTTACGTTTTCACAACAGTTTTTCCTTTGAATGAGACATAAATGGATAAGACCGTACGTGATCTGCCATTACCAATTTACCATCGGGATAATACTGCTCTATCGCACCATTTTCTTTACATGAGTAATAAAAACAAAAATATCTCTAACCGAAGGAAAGTTTACACGAGTAAATTATATAGAATCAAAAAGAAAAAAAAAGTATGTTTAAGAGTATATATGTGACAAACGATTGGATATATCACAAGTAACGGCAGCTCTAAGAAAGACCGGAGAAGAGACCCGAGCTAAGAGAATTGGTTAGCCAACTGGCCATGATCTCAAGATCATTTATGAAGCCACAGAAGCTAATGATATTCTCATGCAACTTTTTAAGAAAACACTGTTCTTATGGGTGTCTTCATGGACACCAGAGATATACAGGGGTTCTGCACAGTGGGCAGTTTGGATGCTCTTTCAACCATGCTTCAACGCACTTGACATGAAACCCATGACTGCACCTTTCTAGCATTGCCACCCTTTCTCCCAATGCCACCTTCGACATGCACACGACGCAGTCAACTGGAGAGCTACCGACACCAAGTTCCTTCAACACCATATTGGTGGTGTTATGACTGTTTAGAATCGTGTCTAACCAAGTCTTGATGGGTGTTGTTACAGATTCCACGAATCCCGCTATCATAATCATCATCATCATCATCATCATCTTGATGAACAACTATTATTTCTGGATTAGAGAAAGAAGATGGAAGCGAAGTCTTTTTGGTTTGATGACAGAAATGGATTCGTGGCCTAATTTACACGCCCCTGTTGGGTGATATATAGTAAAAGCTTATAGATTGGAACTAAATACATTGGTTATGTATCTATTGAGGGAAAGAAGGCATTTAATAGGATTTAATAAAAAGTGTGCTCCATGTTAATTCCAAACAGCTTGCTGTGATAGGCCAAGTGTAAGGTGGAGCAACTATATTTCTTCCATTCCACATTTGGCGCCACGTCAATATTTCTTGTCTATCACTTCTATCTTTTCCCAACAAACAACACATAAAAATCTATCACTTCCGACTCACACCTTTAAGCACAAATATTGATGCATGTTGTAAAATATATAAAAGAAAGATAGGGTTGAAGAGCAGGCCTATCTGACCCGAGAGGAATCCCGGTACCACCGTGGTACACTACAAGAAATCAAGGCTTTAGCGGCGACATTGGTTTTTAGCGGCGACACAACCCTTTGTCGCCGCTAAAAGTCAATGTCGCCGCTAATTGTGTCGCCGCTAAAACCTTGTTGTCCGAATCCGCGTTATCCCTTTCTGGTAGGCCTCAGCCGTCCGATCGAGTATCTAATCCAACGGTTGGGGCCTCTTTTCCGCATAAAACCAATATCGGCGACAATTTGTCGCCGCTAAAAGGTCGAAATAGTCGCCGCTAATTGTGGAATAAAAAAAGACAAGATAATCGCCGTTGTTGCTGGTTGTCGCGGTAAAGCCTTAAGTGTCGCCGCTAAAGGCCTGCACAGATAAAAAAAAAAACGACACAGACTTCACTTTTCCTTCCTGTGTTCGATTCATATCGTTGTCTCGTTCGTTCTTCCCCCATTTTCTGTGAGTTATCGTCGATTCCAACAAAAAGTCTCCCCAACATTGTGAGATTACGGGTCAAAAGGGTTTAGGGCTTCAATTAAACAAGTTCAACTCACGAAAACAGCATCTCGGGTAAAAGGTAACTTCAACTTCTAATTTCTCTTTGTCTTTCTCTTATAACATCGATTTCTAGCTCCATTTGATGATTAACTGCAAAATACTTTTCAATTTCAGTTTTTTTGGTCATTTTGTCTTTGTCACCATCGTGGGTTTACTGTACCGGCGGATGAGAGTATTTTCCGACGAGGACCAATTTTCCGGCGACACTAAGTAATTTCCGCCACTACAGGTTCTATTTACTTCTATTTATTGTGAAATTTGAGTTTAATTGCAAACTATGTATAGTTGTATAAATTATGTGAAAATTGGCATATATTTGATATATGTATGTGAATCTATGTAAATTTGGTGTATATATGTCAATGTATGTGTGTTTGGTGTATATGTGGCATATGAATGTGAAATATTGTCACAACTAGCAAATTTAGGGTTGAGACTATAAAGCTTGTACAAAACAACTCCTCTATGTAACCTTGTTGCATCAAAATAGTGAAATTCAAACGACAATGTTATTTGAATACATATGTGCACACACTTAGAATCAAGTTGTCATAACCTCATGAAAGCCCAAGTTTGATCCAATAGTTAGACAAAATCAATTTTTGGGCTTTGCTTGGAGTTCTCGGCCCAAATACCTTATTGGACCGAAAACCCTTCTATTGGGCCAAGTTAAGCCCAAAAACCATACACACCTTATTGGGCTGAAAACCCCTTCTTTTGGGCCTTCCTTTGGCCAAAAACTCCTTTATTGGGCCAAATTAAACCGAAAGCCCATACCTATCTTAGAACCGAAAAACTTGAAGGTGTGTAGGGTGTTCTCGGCCACCCAAAAACTGAAAACCCCTCTACACACTTAATAAAATCGGTTAGAGCATGGGACAAGACAAAAAAAAAAGAAAAAAAAGATAAGGATTAATGTTGGCACCTAATGTCTTTACATCCTATTACCCTTCATGTTCCCACACAATACAAGCCTCTATCTTCCATGCATGGTTTTCAATTGTCCAACATACATCAAGGAAGCCATCACTCCTCCCCCCCCCCTTTAAGGGGGAGATGGGCCGATCCCACATCCACACACACACAAAAATCATTTACAACCCATTCTACTCTCCAAACACTCTCTTTTTCTCTCAAGATTTCGTGAACCACCTTCAAGGGAGGATACATCTTCAAGCGGTCCTAGGAATTTTGGGTAAGTTCCTTATAAAACTCTAGTGCTTATATACATGTTAGTGCTAAGATCATTCCATTTACACACCCATTTTCGTGTATGATCCTTAGAACACTTGATTTTTTGAGAACTCTTCAAGTTGTGCAAGGCTATGCTCGAAATCTCTTCACTTTCCTTCCTACAACTCACGAAAAATACCAATGTGAGATTCATACTGTAACATCCTAATTTTCAAGACCAAAAATTTTGTTTTTAATTAAGTAACTTATAAAACAATTTACTGAAAAAACATCAACGATTCATATCATTTCATAAAACCTTAGTCACGTGTCTCAAAACCATAACATAAAATAGTAATAATGTCAGAGTACAATCTCATGGATCTCAAAATGCGGAAATCATATGTGTGCGATGCGCTGCTACCGTGCCGGCTCCTCCCCCTTCGCTGAAGAGGTACCTGAAACAAAACTGAAAACTGTAAGCACGTAGCTTAGTAAGTTCCCCCATCATACCACATACCATACTATAAACATACTGTCAGGCATATCTGGGTGCCCAACCTATCCTGCTAGGCATACCGGGGTGCCTAACCTACCCCTTGTCAGACATACCGGAGTGTCCGACCTACCCCTCCGGTTTATGTCAACCGGTTACGGGGACTATTTCACCCCCTACTACAACCACATAATAACATAACATAATCATACTGTCTAGCATAGCTGGGTACCATACCACCCCTTCGACCCTATCGACCGGTAACCGGGGACTATTCCCCTTACTACCACTATCACCTAACATCATATTATACTAGCATGTAAAACACATCAAATAGTGGCAAGCCCAAGTAATTATCACAAAGACGACCACTCGACAAACAATCCCTACTAGTGGGTCGGCATTGAGGCCGTAGACCCACTTATACTGGAAGGTAACTCACCTCGATGTCGTAAAGTGTCTGAACTGTCTGTGCTGCCGGAATCCCTACGATTCATATCATTTCATAAATCTGGCGCACCCCTCCATGATATGGAACCCATACTCTACGGTGTAGTGTCAACAATCCACGACTATCGTAGTCGAAGGAGGAAACATGTCCTATAGTTCGCTCTCTCTTCTGATGTTCCTCCTTCATAGCCTCCTGTTGGGCCTCTCGGATCTGCTCCAGAAGCGGAGTCACTACTGTCATCCGCAAGCAAACGTCTATGATCGGGGCTGCCTTGAGGCTAAGAGCATCGACCACAACATTGGCCTTCCCCTGGTGGTAGAAGATCTCATAATCGCAATCCTTCACCACATCTAGCCACCGACGCTGCCTAATGTTCAGATTCGGCTGATCCATGAGGTACCTCAGACTCTTGTGATCAGTGTAAATGGTACAACGGACCCCATAGATGTAATGTCGCCATATCTTGAGCGCGAAGACGACCGCCCCCAATCCAAATCATGTGTCGGGTAGTTCGTCTCGTGAGGCTTCAGCTTCCTCGAGGCGTAGGCGATGACATGCCCTCTCTGCATCAATACTGCGCCCATACCCAAAATGGACGCATCACAGTACACTACAAAATCCTCCACGTTCTCTGGCAGGGCGAGGATCGGCGCCTCGCATAGTCTCTGTCTCAACGTCTTAAACGTTGCCTGCTGCTCAGGCCCCTAGCGAAAGACAACGACTTTCTTCGTCAGTCGGGTTAAGGGTACGACTATCTTGGAGAAGTCCTGAATGAATATCCAATAATAGCCTGCCAATCCAAGGAAACTCTGAATCTGAGATGGAGACTTCGGAACCTCCCATCTCATCACGGCCTCTACTTTGGCCGGATCGACCAAAATCCTGTTCTGGTTGACAAGGTGCCTCGGAAACTTCACCTTGTGCAACCAAAACTAGCACTTGGAGAATATGGCATACAAGCTCTCCCTCCTCAGGGTATCCAACACCTCCTGTAAGTGCTCCTGATGCTGCTCCTGCGTCTTGGAGTAAGCCAAGATGCCATCGATGAAAACGATCACATACTGATCCAACATTGGTCTGCATATGCGGTTCATGAGATCCATGAACGCGGCAGGAGCATTGGTGAGCCCGAAGGGCATCACCACGAACTCATAGCGGCCATAGCGAGTCTGGAACGCAGTCTTCTGTACATCCTCGTCTCTGACCCTCATCTGATGGTAGCCTGAACGCAAGTCTATCTTGGAAAACCAAGATGCCCCTGTAGCTGGTTTGAAAAGATCATCAATCCTCGGGAGTGGGTAACGGTTCTTCACCGTTACCCTGTTCAGCTCCCGGTAATCTATATACATCTGATACGACCCGTCCTTCTTCTTCACAAACAGGATCGAGGCTCCCCAGGGTGAACTACTCGGTCTAATGAATCCCTTGTCTAACAGCTCCTGTAGTTGTGTAGACAACTCCTGCATATCAGGGGGGCCAATCGATGTGGTGCTTTGGCTATCGGGGCGGCACCGGGGACCAGGTCGATCCTAAACTCCACCTGCCTCTCCAGAGGTATCCCAGGAAACTCCTGTGGAAACACATCCGGGTACTCTCGCACCACTGGCACATCACTCATAGTCGCCTTGCACTCCTCTCAGGTATCCATGATGTAGGCGACATATCCGGTACAACCTTGCTGAAGGTAGCGCCTAGCCCTCGCTGCTGAGCATAAAGCTGGTCCGTGCTGTGGCCTCTCGCCCTGAATCACCAGCTCTCCCCCACTTGGGGTCCTGACACGTACCAACTGATGCGCGCAGTTAATCACAGCCCCATTATGGCTCAACCAGTCCACACTGATGATGACCTTGTTCCCACGCAATAGTATGGGAACCAAGTCT